AAATAATCTAACTTGCATTGATTTACACTTCAGCCTTTAGAATAGGAAGTGCCCAGTTTGGGATAGCCTTTCCAGTGATATGTTACTGGTTTTAACCTTTTCAGACTCATAGGTGAAGATGTTAACTTATTTTGTTTTGATTGTTTATTTTAGTGAGTTTTAAAAATTGAGATACTCAAATGAAATTAACTTCGTAGTATATAGTTCATTGAATTTTGACAAATGTATTCGGTTGTGTAACCATCTCCACAATTACAGTACAGAACAGTTTCTATCACCCCCAAATTCCTTAAATTTCTTTGTGGTGAAAGGAGAATGTTTTAGGGCATTGGTTGGCCAGTTGAATTGTTAAACTTTTTTTGCTTGTCTAGTTTCCTTTTTGCCTGCTTTTTTGCTTTTCTTCTTTCATTATTCTCTTTGTGTGAAGTGCTTGTGTGTTTTGACTATTTGCTTCTAAGATTTTTGTCTTTCTCCCTGATTTCTAACAGCACATTCTATGTTTTAGAACTTAATCCTTTGCCATATATGTTTGCTGTCTTTTTAATTTCATTTTGACTTGGTGACAGAAAGATGTAGATTTTGTGCAGTTAGATTATTCATCTTTTTTCCCTTATGGAATCAAGGTTTTATGATATACGTTTAAGTCTATTTCACTCTTCTGAGGAGTATTTAAAGTTTTTCATTTTATATTTTCTTATTTCATCTTTTTGAAGCTATTCTATATAAGATTTAGTCTCCTTTTTTTTCCAATTACAGACTTATTAGTGAACTTTACATTTAAATGCTTTTCTCCTGTGCTCTGAAATTGTGTAGTATAATAGGGCTTTTATGTCTCTTAACTGGACACCTTTTTTCCCCTTGGAAAGAAAGAGTGCCCTCCCTCTTTCTTTCTTGCTATAGGCCTCTTGGATCGCTACATTTTCTGATGCAAATTTTAACAGTATGTATTTTGGTATAAAATTATCCTTTTAGTCTGAGTTTTTGAAGTATTCTTACATATTTTTCTCATAAATCTATAATTATTGCTCCCTTCATTTTTTTAATTTGGTATAAATATGTTTTTCTTCCTTGATTATTTGAGTAGTAGTTTACTAGTAGAGTTTTCTGTTGTTCAAAAAACTTAATTCGTAACATTTAAAACTCATATTTCATTTTCTCATTTATTGTTCTTGTATTTATAAACTGGTTTATTTTTAGTTTCTTACTGTTTAGTTTTCTAAATGTTTAAAGCTTTGACTTTCTGTGAGCCTAGTTTTAGTGTCTTTGTAGAACCACATAGAATTTTTGTTACTGTATGTTTATAAATAGTGTACGATTTTTGTTCCTTTTTTGACTCAAGAATTAAGGAGGGTTAGTGATTAACTGTTTTATTGCATTATGATGAAATAATGATGTATTTGATTTTTAACTTAAGGTTTTGTGGTCTGATATATTGTCATATTTAGTATCTATTCTTGTGTCCTGGTTACCCCCTTCCCCTCTCATCCTGGAGAATCAAAACATCCCATCCCTTTTTACTTTGAAATAGAGTCTTGCTAAGTTGCCCAGTCTGGCCTCAAACTTGCCTTTTTCACTGTATTGTCAAAATTCACTGACGGTGTAAAAGTACAAATGGGTAAAATCAGCGGCTCCTTCTGCTGAATTGAGGCAGTGGCATCCACCTGTAATGGCAGTGAAGTGTAGTGACAGTAGGGAATCGTCACATTGTTCTTTACTGCACACAGTTTGATAAAAAAGAAAATTCTAGTTGTACATTTTAATACAATTTACTCATTATATATGCCTTTGATAAATCATATTGATAAATCAATAAACTCACTAATTTTTGAAAATCTTCATGTAGGGTACACGTATTTTTGGAATCCTTACCTTGAAATTGTTTAAAAGCTCTTCTCATTGCCTATTAAAGAAGAAAAACTATCTTGAGGGGAAATGCATGTTGTCGTTGTTTGAGTTGCTGACTGCACTTTTCTATACTTGGACAGTTACTATCCACAGTGTAATTGTTCAACTTAGTTTCATTAGTTTCTCATAAATGATCACAGTGAGGCTGTCCTTTCAATGAAAACAGCTGACAGTATTGTTGTCAGAGACACAGTTCAAACTTTCAAGCAAAAACTAGTTTTGGAAAACTTACATTATCTGCTGTTGCTACTTTCCAGTAGCTAGGATTTTTTTAAAAATTTGAATTTTTAAAAATTGTTTTTATTCCCTTAGGGATTTTTTAATGAGATGGTAGTAATGCATACTCACAAGTGTGATTTTTCTTTTCTTTCTTTCTTTTTTTTTTTTTTGATGTTGTAGGTATCTTGATACACAGTGTTGCAAATCAGCTTACATACATAAAAGAGTGGCTCAAAATCCAGAATGTACCCATGGAATTGAATGTGATAGACTTAAAAAACAAAATCATTCCAAGGTTTTAGATTTTGCAGTGCAGTGTAACTTTTAAGAAACTATAACTTACTGAGTTTCTGATGGCATCAAAAGAAAATACTCACTATGATGTAAAAAAATTATTTTAATAATTTGAATAATGAAATGTATTCCTACTTTTTCCAACGGTATCTCTGTAGCTGGCTGTATTTCTTCTTTATACTTGAACTAATGCAAAATATTGTAGGAGATTTAATACAGACGCAGATAAAAGACCAGCTGTCTTCTCAGAGACAGAAGAGGTTTTCAGTAATGTAAAATGTCTCCAGTTCTGTCATTGGTTAGGAAATTATAGATGTTTTTCATGAAAGTGGTATTTATGTTAATATATAATGAGTGAATTGTTGTATTAAAATGCATTAATTAAATATTTTTAACTCTTAATTTCTAGTAGGATAAAATTTAATAAATGCAATCCATAAAATAGTTTTCTGTAGTATTAAAACTTTTTGTGGGCTTCAATAAATTTTAGAGAGTAAAGGTATTCTGAGACCAGAAAGGCTGAGACTCAGACTTTAGGCAGAGTGTTGGTATAGGGACAGAATGTGAGTTTTGCATTGAATAACCAGGTTCCAATTCTGTGTCTCTTATCTCCTAGTATCAAATTATTACCTTCACTGAGCAAATCTTAATCCTCCTGAGATGCCAGGTTCCTCATTTGTAAAATGGTGATAATAAAGTTATTTTATTCATTGAAGTTAAGGGATGGTTTGACCTTTTTGCTTTGGGTGTAATGACTAATAAGACATAACTACTAGAAATCATTGCTTGAAAAAGGGGTTTTGACATTATTTGCAAATATTATTTTCTGCATATTTTGTCCAATACTTTTTCCCCTTGAACCATTACATACAGTTTTCAAGTATTTGTGTAAACTTAAAGTTTTACAATTAGAAAGGCAGTAAAACTAATTCAGAACATTTACTTAGGCTTAAGACAGATGGTAATCCTATAAAAAGATGTCATATATTTTTGGAAGTAGAAACAGAAAAACAGATACTCTTAAAAATCCCACGATGATCTTTGCTCAGAAAATGTAGGAAAGAGGTAAAAGATCATGGCCTAATAAAATTTTATGGTTTCTAATGTCTAGTATTGAATTTGTTTAATATTAGTATTGAGTTGCATATTAGATTGGAAGTTGGAAAAGGAATAATTTTCTGATACATAACTGCTAACTACCTTTCCTGTGATTATCCGTCTTTGGTTTTCCATGTTATGTATTTGATAATGGGAAATAGAATCACTTGAACCCCAAATTAAATGGGGTTGATCTAAATGTGAATACTTACCATCTCAGAATCAATTGATTCTGCTATTAGAGAAGTTATGTACATCATCCTTGGAATTCTTAATGAGTTACCTTCATATTCACCTTAACATCTAAGAGTAGCTGGTGCTCCAAATATTTTACTTTTTATAACTTTTTCAAAAACATACTTGACAGTAAGAGTGTTTTAAAATTACTTTTTAAAAAAATGGAATTGATATGCCTAGTCCCCTAATTAGTTTCTGAGTGGTTTGTAGTATTTTTTGCAGAATCTCTACCTACTACCCACCAGCCAAATGTTCTCAGTAACAAAAAGTGAACATCTGCCAGATTTCTCTATTCTGTCAACTCCCACCTTATGTTTCTAGTGGTTTTACATTACAGTTTATCCATTCATAAATCTGCTTCTACTGGATCAGGAGATTAGAAATATGTTATTAGTCTACAATATTCCCACACAGTGCTATTACGCTTGTAGTGGGGTAAATGCAGGGTGAATAAATGACTGTGATTAAAAAACTATAGTCTTCTGCGGAGTAGCACTTAAGCTACTAGGTGAAGAGATTCAACCTGCAGCTATTCTCATGGCAGTGAATGTAGGATGGTGAATGAGTCTGTTCTCAGGAAACTCCAGAGTATGAAGAAACATTTCTAGATAACACAGATTATAGAATTATTTTTTATTTTTAATATGTTTAAGTGTTTAAAATATATAATTGAAGAAAAGGCTTGGCTCCTCTCCCAGTTCTGTGTGTTGCCTTTGTTGAGTGTTTTGCTGGTATAGACTGGTGAATGGACAGGGAGGCAGGAAGAAGGAGTAGTCAGAATTGTCGCTGAGCATGGAGCTTTGTAGAATTAGAAAAGATACGAGCACTGGCCCATACGGTAAGAATAAAATAAAAAAACCAAGTTGCAAAAAAGCAAGGAAGGTAGACAAAGGGTTTGGGGTTTTTTGTTTGTTTGTTTGTTTTTTGCTAGCAGGAGTTGAACTCAGGACCTTGTGTTGGCCAGACAGTGCTGCTGAATTGTATTCCGGCAAAAGGCCTGTTTTCAGATAGCATCAAATACTTAACTGAATGCCTGTTATGTAGTAGATAGTGTTCTATTCTGCAGGAAATAAAGTAAAAATAAAATCCCTGTTCTAGAGCCTACTCTCTTAAGAAAACTCTTGCATTCTTGTTCAGAAATTAAAGGATTGAACTGAGTAAAATAAAACTTTGGTGGAAAGTTGAACTTGAAAAATAGTATCTCCTTTTATAGATACTTAAATGTGTTTTGTTTTATTTTGTTTTAGAAAATGGCTCCAAAAGTTAAATGAAGCTGAAAAAGCCACGTAGATGCAGCATTGAAGCCTCTCCAGATGTTTGGGGATAATATTCCAGAAAGAAATTGGTCTTTGTAGATTAACTAGTCATAATGAAGAAAATTAGTCTGAAAACCTTCCGGAAATCTTTTAACTTGAACAAAAGTAAAGAAGAAACTGATTTCATGGTAGTACAACCACCATCAATAGCCAGTGACTTTGGAAAAGATGAGGCCTTGTTTGGTAGCTGCTATGGTAAAGATATCGCCAGCTGTGACATCAACAGTGAAGATGAAAAAGGTGGAAAAAACAGATCAAAAAGTGAGAGCCTTATGGGTACACTAAAAAGGCGACTTTCTTCTAAGCAGAAGCCAAAGGGCAAGGGCAGCACACCGTCAGGAAGCTGTGCTGACGAAGACACCTTCTCCTCCTCCTCAGCCCCCATCGTCTTCAAAGATGTGCGAGCGCAGAGGCCCATCAGGTCCACTTCCCTCCGCAGTCATCACTACAGCCCCACACCCTGGCCTCTCCGGCCCACAAACTCCGAGGAGACTTGCATCAAAATGGAGGTGAGAGTCAAAGCCTTGGTTCACTCTTCCAGCCCGAGCCCTGCATTGAATGGTGTTCGAAAGGATTTTCATGATCTTCAGTCTGAAACTGTATGCCAAGAGCAAAATAATTCTCTTAAGAGTTCTGATTCTCCCAATGGAGACTTGCATCTCCACCTGGATGAACATGTGCCTGTAGTTATTGGACTTATGCCTCAGGACTACATTCAGTATACCGTGCCTTTAGACGAGGGGATGTATCCTTTGGAAGGATCGCGTAGCTATTGTCTGGACAGTTCTTCACCCATGGAGGTCTCTGCAGTGACTCCTCAGGTGGGAGGGAGCTCTTTTGCTGAAGATGAGAATCAGGTAGACCAGGATCTAGTCGTTGCCCCAGAGATCTTTGTGGATCAGTCTGTGAATGGTTTGTTGATTGGCACCACCGGAGTCATGTTGCAGAGCCCCAGAGCGAGTCATGATGATGTCCCTCCACTTTCACCTTTGCTACCTCCAATCCAGAATAATCAAATCCAAAGGAACTTCAGCGGACTCACTGGCACAGATGCCCATGTGGCTGAAAGTATGCGTTGTCATTTGAATTTTGATCCTAACTCTGCTCCTGGTGTTGCAAGAGTTTATGACTCTGTACAAAGTAGCGGTCCCATGGTTGTGACAAGCCTTACAGAGGAGCTGAAGAAACTTGCTAAACAAGGATGGTACTGGGGGCCCATCACACGCTGGGAGGCAGAAGGGAAGCTAGCAAATGTGCCAGATGGTTCTTTCCTTGTTCGGGATAGTTCTGATGACCGTTACCTTTTAAGCTTGAGCTTTCGTTCCCATGGTAAAACACTTCACACTAGAATCGAGCACTCAAATGGTAGATTTAGCTTTTATGAACAACCAGATGTGGAAGGACATACATCTATAGTTGATCTAATTGAGCATTCAATCAGGGACTCTGAAAATGGAGCTTTTTGTTATTCAAGGTCTCGATTGCCTGGATCTGCAACTTACCCTGTCAGATTGACCAATCCAGTGTCTCGATTCATGCAGGTGCGCTCTTTGCAGTACCTGTGTCGTTTTGTTATACGTCAGTATACCAGAATAGACTTAATTCAGAAACTGCCTTTGCCGAACAAAATGAAGGATTATTTACAGGAGAAGCACTACTGAAAGATTGAGAACCTTGCATCTTGCACTTTGGGAAAAAAAAAAAAGAAAGAAATTGAAATACAGTTTACAAACTTTCATTGCCGTCAAAATACTTTGCTGCCATAACTATTTTAGTTCTGTGTGTAACAGTCACCAGTTTTTTAGGGGTGGGGAAGTGTCTGCGAGTTGTCTTGGGTCTATTTTGGTTCTTTCAAAAGGGATATCTTGAGGTTCTAGAAGTGTGAATTATCTTTCATTAATGTGCAGATTAATCATAATGTGAATGATCAAATTCTTATTGCCCCCCCCAGTCCTTTGCTGCTATCCACTGTGATTTTTATGCATTAAAAGCACATTTCATGTGTATTCAACCCTAAGTGAAGTTGAATGAAGCTTATAGAATGAAAATTGCTTTGTCTTTTTAAGTGACTCATTTTGAGAAGATAATGTTGAATAAACGTGTAATAAAACAATTTACATATACATTGAAAATGATTTTTTAAATTTCATCTTTAAAAAGATTTTGATTTATGAATTGACATAATCTTGGTTAATGGAATGCAAATTTGCAACATATCTTTTACAACACTTTTCTAAATTATTTTTAAGGTAGTGCTATTTTTTTTTGTTGTTGTGAAAACCTGAATTTTTCTGTTGCCTTCATTTTCATCTTGTGGTTTGTGTATTTTAATAAATGGCCTTACATTAAAAAATTGTAATATAAACCACCAGTTTAGAAATTGTTGCCTTTTCTGTCATTAAACTCGGGTACAAATTGGCATAAAGACCTGTGGAACTAGACCTATCACTATCACTACAGAAATATCTGATGATCATGGTTTCCTGAGATAGGGCTTTTGTGTTGTGTGTACTTTCTTTTGGTTAAATGTTTTATCTGCAGTTTCTTTAGTCAACATTTTGGGGTGAACCTGATTGTACAACTAATTTTTATAAATGACTGGATTCTTTTATAACATTAAAATTTTAGGTCGATTTGAATGTATAAAAGATTGTTTTAAAGTTGGATTTAATTTTTTTTTTAATGTAGTTAGTATTGTGCTAGATTTGTACACTTCTTGATAAAAAAACAACCCTTAATGAGTTTAGCTGAAAAATTCTGGGAATTGTGCAGCATCATGTCAGAAAAATACTAAGCCCACATCAGATATATGGAAATTTTGTTTCCTGTGAGATATAAGAACAGGGTTTTTGTTTTTAAGTTAGCTGCATTTTAAGAAATTTGACATCTCTGGTGTTTTACCCCCTAGATTCATCATTGAGATGTTATATCTAATAATCTTTAAATGCAGAACATTCGTTTATTTCACAGTTACGTAGTGTAGTATCTTAGGATTGTTCTGTTCAGAAAATGTTTCCAGCTACACAAGTTTTAAAGGACAATAATTCCATCCTAGATGAACATGTAATTTGTGATGTTTCTTCCTTTGTCAAAATGTTTCTTCCTTTGTCCTTTTATCCCTCCTTATTTTTAAAGAAATTAAATGTTTTCCCCTTCTTAAAAATCAGGGTGGAAGTATTCGGTCAAAATTACTGGCTTTTATCTTACAAACATATCTGTGTTCTCAGTTTTTTTCTGTATTTGCTTTTTAGGATCAGAACTGAGATGTTGCCAAGAAAAGGCACAATGCCATAATATCACAGTGTTATGATATTTTGACCTATAAGGGGAAAGGGACTTAATTTTGGTGGGATGTTGACTGTGTCTTGTTATAAAGTCTACTTTTTCATTTTGTGATGTTTTCACCTAATGAGGTAAAATAGAGTATACTATAATAATATAATTTAAGTGTTCACTATAAGCTATTTGGATTAAGAACTATTGCAGAGTTGTAAGCTTGTTATCAAATTAATGCAAGACATTTAATTTTTTTTGCAAAACTATTTATTTTTAAGCAATTTAAAATATGTGTAGGGTGAGTGGAATGTCCCTATGCATCTGTGTGAGATGGCAGGTGTTGTCACAGAGTTTCTGTGTAGTAACGGTAAATGTCAGGCTAGTGTCTCTGCATATCCTCCTGGGAGTGACTGCTGCACAGTCTCTGGACTGCCTCCACCTGTCTCACATGGGTGCAACTTGGTCCCTGCATTTTCCCATGATAGCATACATTTAAGATCTACCCATTTAATTCCAAGATTATTCTTACTTTCATCTGTGAGTTTTAAAATACAGTTTTAAAGACTGTATTTTCTATTTTTTGAATGGCAAGTGCTGATACCGTTCTAATTTATAAAGCAAATCTTTGATGTGCTTGTCCATATTCATAATATAAAATATCTTAGTGTGCCCTTTTCTAATCCAATTATTAGGTTCTGATGATATTTGCCAAAAAGTAAATTGACAAATAGATATGTCCAAAATTTTCTGAGTTTGTGTAGAGAGGCAGACAACTGACAGTAAGTACATCAGAATGTGAAAGATTGGCTTTATGTGATACATCGACAGCCTGGTAAAGTACGGAAATGGAGAAGAATCATCCTGTAGCTTTGCTAGATGCAATTTGGTTAAATTTTGGATTTTGTTGAAAGGTAACTTAGATGATATGAACAGAATCTGTAAGTGATTCTTAAATACATACTTTTAAAAAGCTGAGTTTAAGGAAAAATCGGGAAAGCTGTATCTGTTTGCCACAATAAATGAATCTGGTTTTTTTTAAATCAGATACTTCATCAAAATAATGATGGAGGCTGGAAGCTATTTTGAGGTTTATTAGGACACTATTTATGCATTTTCTTAATTCATAAGAAAGCTGTAGAAAGTACTTGAAAAATACCTTACTCTTCTCCTTGGTGCAATAACCTCTAAAAATTTAGAAGATCACGTATTTTATCACAGGAAACGATCATAGAACTAAAAATAGTTTTAAGGAAACCAGCTACACAGGACAACCCTCTTGCTATTGAAGAAAATCTTGTGCCAAAAGGCTAAATCATTGGCATGTAGGAAAAAAACACAAAGTAGACATTATGTTTTCTGAGCCAGTAATGTTGAAACAAGATGAAAGTCACTAAAAATCTTAAATAGATTTATGCAAGTCTCTGCTAGTGCTGTAAGTCTATCTTTTTAACAGTGCTTTCAGGAATGCCAATTTTGATTACCTTCTCATTGTACATGAAGTAATTGCTTTATGACTTATTCAAAATAATACATTTTGATTTAAACTTTAATTGCTTTTCATTGACAATGAAGTATTAATTTGAAAATGAAATTACACTACCAGCAATAGATAATTTTGTTGAATACTCTAGTAAGGAACAAAAGCCAGTTCCATAAATAACTAAAATTCTAAAGGTATTGGTACGTTAGTAATCACAAATTTGGTTTCTTTTAATACTTTTTTAATTCTATAAAGAGGTTTTTTATAAACATCCTTTTTATTGATGAGTCATAACATGGCAAAAGTATGTAGTTGCTGTTTCTGAAAACTGATCGAAACTCTACACTCAGAGGTGGTAGGAAATTCTTACAGAATTTTGTAATAGTATATATGTTGGGTTATAGAAATTTCATAGTTGTTGGAGTGCCATGAAATTAATACTTGCAATCCAGATTGCTGTAGTTTACACTTTTTCTGTATGTTTCAAATCAGGTGTGTACCATTTGTACTGAGAACACCACAGAATGAACTATCCAAAGTCCATTGATTTTAATATGTGTTGGTTTGTAAACAAATTATAGTAATTTCTTGCACATTTTGGGGAAATTATATAAGAATTTATCTGCTTCTAGATACAATGTGTAAATAAAAATTTCATTCACAAGATCTGCCTTGTAGTCTACTTGATATTCTCATAGTAAAGTATCTGGTTAACAAGGTAGTTTCTGGATGTCTCATGAACTGGGCAGATACTGGAGAGTGGGAATCAATGTATTTTAGTAAAAAGAGAAAAAATCATGTCCCTAAAGGAAGAATCAGACAAATTAAGAGTCAGCCAATGGTGGTAATATACCAAAGCTTTCAACATAAAGGGTGGGGAATTGGGAATATCTTGATAAACAAAACACTGAATTGAAACTAAACAGTGATAAAACCTTACTAAAAGATGTTTAGAGTAAATGATAAGATGTTTGGATCCTGACTTTTAGAAAACATCCCATTACTTAGTAATGTTTCATAGAAATAGAGCAAGTCAAATTTAAGTGTGTTTTTGTAGCTGTTTAGAAAGTTTCATGGGAAGATTTCTTATATCTACTGAATTCCATGCTTTTAAAGTTCTTGAGTATCATTTTGGATTAACATTTGCTTTGAAATTTTGTCCCATTTTTAAATACTTAAAAAATGAGTATTTCAAAGATAATTTTTAACCTATGTTGTCCAGAGTATGTTGCAGATTTTGACTTATTGATAGAATCTGAATATTGTGGAACTCTAGCCATGTTTTTCAGAACCGGTGCAGTTGGCAACATTGCTATTAATGTCATATTGGAATTGCTGGTGATGGTGCTGTGAGACAAATAGTCATGCTTTAGGAACTGGGGAAAAGACTGGACTTTTAAGCTGTGGGCAGTTTAATGTCCATGATGTTTATTTTCTTCAAAATAAAATACATGAATTATTGTAAGAAGACAGCAGTATAGCACCCCTCATAATTTCCAGGTCATTATTTGATAATTAAGACTCCCCCATGAAGTTAGAATGATTTGCCAAAATTGTACCTGTATCATAATTGTCATCAAATCCCAAGATGTGACCAAATAATACATATTTGGGTGCTACAGATTAGCAAATAATAGTGATTCGTTGAATGCTGTTGTGGGTTGCTGAGAAAAGAATACCTGACTGAAAGTTAAAGGAGGAGAGTTTATTTGGCTCAGAGTTTGTAGAAGTTTCAGGCTTGTGACTAGCTTTGAAGCAGGGTAGCATGGTGGAGTTGGCCGCACAGAGGAGAAATAGTTCATGGCAGACAGAGGTCAGCAAGGTAACCGGCTAGAAGCAACAAGGAGCGACTGTCTCATGGCTTATCTAACCCACCTGCCCATAGGGCAGGCAGCACACAACACTCAGGGTGGGGCGCCCTTAATCCTGCCTAGAACTGTGTCAGACCAATCAGTGGGCTAATTTAGTATCACACAGTCTTGATTGCAGCATTACACACTCCAGATACAGCCACCCGCCCCAGAAAGACCCACGTGTGACTGCATGAAACTGAGAGGACATCTAGACACAAACCATAATGAATGCCTTCTATGCACTGATACCAAAGGGAAGATTCCACTTTCAGTGGCAGAGTTGCATGCAGCCTGCTCCTTGGCTACCCATCTAGGATGTGTTCAGGAGAATGGTGAAATGTGTACCCAGCCCCAGCGACTTGTTCTGAAACTCCACTGGGTGTAGTCACAAGATGTGTGGGGAAGCAGAGGCCCTCCATAGGCTAGACCGCTACTGTCAGAAGAGCAATACAGCACAAAGGATAAGAGCCCTCTTGGTTCTTGGTGACAGCTGATGTTCAGGTGACCCAGAGCACTTTCAGACTTGGGGAAGATCCAAAGGTGGAGGTAGGAAGCTGTTCTTGAAAGGCAGCCCAGGGAGTACTCAGCAGTGTGGATGTCTTGGTGAACAAAGATGGGTCTATGGTTGTCAATAAAATTTTTATTCTCCAAAAAAGAAGGGGAAAGGAGGGGGTTATCAAAGACACCCTTGAACAGGCAGCTGCAGGATTTGCCTAATTTGTCTAATTTGCCTAACTTGCCAACTTCTTTTATACTTAAATTCATAACCTTTTCTTTCCTATCATAAGTTTTACTTTTCCTAGGCTGTTAACTTTCTGAATCAAAATGGTTTAACCTTTCGTTCAATTTCGTTAGATTTTCATTAGATTTACTAGAGTCTGCTGCTTTGGCCTCCAGTAGGTTATTTTTTCCCCCTTTCAAATCTTTATTTTAAAAAGAGCTTTATTTTTAAAATTTTCCTGTAAGAGCAGGGTGTGGTGGTACATGCCTATAATTCCAGCACTCAGCTGGCTAAGGCAGGGGGATCACCCTGAGTTTACGACAGCCATAGTGAGTCCCAGCCAGCCTGGACTACGTAGCAAGACCCTGTCTCAAAAAAGCAAAAATAAAACAAACCGCAAACAAAACAGAAACCTTCTCTGTAGTTTCTTTTTGGGGTTTTATTTTTTAATTGCAATTTCTAGTTTGAAGGGTTGCCTAACATGAACCATACTTTTAAGAAATGGGTCTTATTTCCTCCTCCTTGTATATGACTTACTGCTGATGGATACAGAGCTATTTCAGCAGTGGATGCTCCATCACTTTTCCCTGCCCCAGGAAGGTTGTCATAGACCTTCACCTAATGAGACTTCACAGTTCAGCCGGGCTTTATTTTCAGGTCGTCTATTTTTTTATGGAGATAGCTATTTGATGTAGTGGAAGTATTGGTTTATTACTTACATAGTTTGGTTTTCATGGGAAGATCAGTATGATTCTCCAGATAGAGTTATTTACTCAGAGGGGAAGATATACTTTTTGCGTTTTAGGATTTGTTTACCAGTGAAGTTAAATCTAGGAACCACTGAGAATACCCAATCCTGACACAGGCAAAGAACCAATAGTACCAACTGAAAAAACGATTTATCCCTGAACACAACTGAGCTTTGCTGCCAGTTTTGTATGAAGCTGCATTGTACGAGGCTCCTTTTTTTCCTGGCTTTGCTGCCCATTTTGTATGTGGCTGAACTTTTTCCTACCTGAAACCAGGCAGCCTTACCACCACTTCTGGAAGAATCATATGGGTGTCTTCTTGGGAAGGCTCTCTCACCTTGTAAAGGCTAAAGAAAAGCTGGCTAGGGTAAAAATTGTTTTAGTATAGTTTTATTACCAGGGCAAATCCTAGACATCATTTTGAACTGTCCTATCCCTGGTAACTTTAGCTAGAAAATAGGGTAAATCTTAAACTCAAGGAAGATTCTTTTTGTTTATGAGCCATGGGTCTCCTCATAGTAAGAGAGTCCATGGAAACATAGATCTGTATGATGGCTTATTTTGGTGTTTCACTTGGTACCATGTGTTTACAAGGTTCCACTCAGAGACCCTACGATTTAATTATTCCAGACTAGGTCACAAGGTAAATTTTTATAGCTCTCTGAATTCCACCATTGAACGTGAGAAAGAAATCCCCCTTTGCTTGGTGGAATTGCCTCCTTACAAATACTCTTCCATCTGGCCCTTCTTTATCCCTAATGATTCAAAGTTTGACATGTCAGATCTTCACTGAGGTACGTCATTGCAAAGCCACTTATTCAGCTAATGTCCAGGATGTCTCCTCTCTCTCTCTCCACTGCCATGTTCAACAATCTGACTTTTTGTGATTGGCAAGTGGTGAACACCATCTGGCCAAGAGTTACCAAACTAATACTGTCTTTGAGGTGTGACAACTTCCTAGAAAGCCAGTAGAAGTTCTGGCATCAGCGGGATCAATGGTTGAAGCTAGAGAAGGACTTATCACCAGCTCTTATAATGGGTTGCACATAATTGTGCTTGACCTACAGTATATGTTAATACTTAACACACATAGCTCATCTTCAAAGCAACCCTGTACAAGGAAGGCATCCTTATTGGAAACAGGCACACAGGTGAGCCTCCCCAAGGTCACAAAGGTAATTGATAGAACCAGATTACAAACTCAATCTGATTCCAAATTCAAAGCTCTCATTCACTGTTATTCTTTCAGATTTGTGTTGTTTTGTATTTATTTCTGTGATTGTCAGAAGTGAGTCACCTGCCATTTTCTCCTCCATAGTATAAAGAATGACAGAACTGACCATTTATGGCAGTTTGACTGGATAGCATAACTGATGGGATTTTCTTTTACAAGAAAAGGGAATATTACTTTCCCTTTATGGCTGTGCAAAAGTTCAGTTAAGAAAACTGTCCAATATAAAAATGTGAGAACAAGTTTTGGTGAAATTCAGTTATAGTTCTTGAGAGAAGGACTTCTCCACATGATGGGACATCAGAAAAAGTGCTAATAATTCTTTCTTACTAATGTATTTAGTCAGTTGCCTGAGATGTTTATTGTGCCCTCTTTAACTAGCACCTGAGGTTTTATGATTTAAAGTAGACCAAAGAATCCACACTTTTTCTTTTGACTTTCCTGTGGGTTGCTCGGCTAGGACTCTCTGCTTCCTGTCATTTTGTTACGAGCACACCCTGAGGAAGTGCTTCCTTTCTGAAACAGTTCTAGCCGCACTCTGTATATCCAGTGTTCTATGTTTGCATCTAAGGATATTAGCCACCTGTGTTAATGGAGCTTGATTGTAGTTATCATACGAAAGTGTCCCTTTTCATTTCTGTACTGGGAAGTAGCAACTTATATTATGCCTCGCTAAATATCATTAACATGAATAATCTTTCTGTCAAAAACCTTAGAATAGATGTCCTAAACCCTATCAGCATTTGAGATTATTAACTTGGACTGTTTGGGGAATTAACACATTAGGATAAAACTGAAGGCTACTAAAGACTACTTAAAACACATTTTAATGGTTTCTCATAGTGAAAATCTCAGGGTAAATGAATTCTCTTTTAAAAGGAATTATTTTTGTTCTTTTGAAAGGCATGTTTAACACATGTATTATTCTATGTCAGTTTTCTTGTCCTATTTAAGCACTTAAAAAATGTTCCGTTGTCTTTTAGACTCCATTATTTCTGATGAGAAGTTATCTTCCATTTATCTCGTCGTTTCTCTGCAAGTTATGTGTAATACTCTCATCCATATAAACCTTTAAGGCCCCCTTCTCTCTTTCTCTGATTATGATGTGCCTG